CCAGTGAAAAAGCTGTTACGTCTGAATCAGGAGAGAAATATGCACAGATCAAGCACTGTTTATAAGTGAAAATATACCAAAACAGTTCTAAAAAATATGTCTGTGGATATTAATGTGGACAACAGGGGATGCACTTTTTCACTGGGGGAAGCGTTATTATGGATTGTTTACTCGTACTTTATTGAGATGTTTTTATCATCTGTTTGGACTCCCATTCTGACGGCACCCATTCACTGCAGAGGATCCATTGGTGAGCAAGTGATGTAATGCTCAATTTCCCCAAATCTGTTCTGATGAAGAAACAAACTCATCTACATCTTGGATGGCGTGAGGGTGAGTCAAATGGATTTGGCATTCACACTGGTTGTGTGCTAGAGAGATATTAAAGCGGTTACATTATAATTTGTCCATAGAAGGAAGCATTGGAGCATCGGCCTATCTGATAAGCCAATAAATCACTACCATCTGGTTCCATAACGGCAGCAGGATGTGGAATTTGTGTAAAGTTCAGAGTTGCAGTATCACCATCTGTAAGAAGAATAAATAAATGTAACCATAAAAGAGCTTGTTTATTGTAATCTCTAGCTAAGCAATCTTCCAGTGAACTTCTTGTGTATTGTATAACAGAGCTGGACACTCTTGTGAGAGCAGCTCTGAGGATTTGGGGTTTGTTCAGGTTTCACAGAATAGAAGAAAATGCCAAGAAGCCTGGAGCTAGATGCAAAAAAAAAACAGATGTATGGCTATAATCACATATAATTCAAAAGAAACAGACATTCATATTGGGAACACAAATACAATGTAGGTGGTTGTGGTTAATGGCTGTGATACCGTTACACATTAACTGATTTTTTTGGCTTTTTTATGGAGAACTTTTTTCATGTTCAAATAAATTTTCACCATCTGTGTTGGTCTGGATCTGGATTCTTGTACGTCCAATTTTGGTTAATAAAAAGCTATAAAATAGTTCATAAAATCCTAATATAAATGGATCAAGAAAACTACAAATTTAACTTGGCTGCACACTATGAAATCAATGCAGCAATACAAAATATGCAGGAATTGACCAAGCAGAATGTGTCTCATTACCTGTATCAACATTTTTTTTAAAGAAATGACTACTTTTATTAAGCAAAAATGCATTAAATTGACCAAAAGTGACAGTTAAGAAGACTTTTACATTGTTCCCAAAGATTTCTATTTTAAATAAATGCTACTATTTTGAAACCGCACTGGACTGCTGTGTTTGCATGGGAAAGCGCAGCTGTGTAGGCAATACTAGTTCAGCTGGACCTCTCTGTGCCGTTTTGGGTTGTTTGTGTGTGTGTGTATTTCCTCAGGTGTTTTCCTGCTTTGATGCTTGATGGAAAACTCTTTATAACATCAATAATCTCACTGAGCACCGATTCAGCCTCCTCGTTCTGTCGAACAAGACTGTGAATCCACAAAAATGTAATTTTCCTGCAACTGTTTCATGACAATTGCAGTTTCCACCAAGGTTCTGTTCCTGCACATGACAAAGTGCGCAGTCGACAAGGTTAAGGAGAAGAAACAAAATCTCTCAAGTGAGCACGGCCAACAATTTGTGAGTAATGGGGGAACCACATGTATGAAATTTTGATTTAAGTGGTAATACATGAGAAAACTAAAGCTTCATCTTTTCCTGCGAGTTCTGTGTAACTCTACCTCTTCATGGCTACTTTCAGGCAAGAGGGGAGGAGATGTCAGGGGTGTGATGAGGTCAATCCCCTGGTGCCTGATAGTGAAACTTAAAAATCATGGAGAAAATATGGACTCATGGCACATGCTATATTTCCTGTACAGAGCCTGGACTGTGGAGGTACAACTCGGTGATAAATATGACAAATTAAGTCTTGCTTATTTTTCCTTATATCTTAATCCATTTTGTAAGATGTTTTATTACACTTTAGAATTTATTAGATGTCGTAAGAAGTCAAAAAGGGCAAATATTAATTTGCAACATGTAAAACTTTTTTTTGTTTAATATAAATATATGCCATTTAGAGGGCATCTGTACCATAGTTATAGTATGAATTAGAAAGCATTATTACATAACTTCAGTGCTTAAATGTGTTAAACTAGTAAAAAAAAAACCGTTTTTGGAAAGAGATAGTGTTTATTTTACATGTCCATAAATGTCAAGCTGTATATATTGTGATTCTTTGCAGACAGTTGATATCTCAATAACAACAATAATTATTACCTTTTTCCTTTTTCATCTCATATTGCAAGCCAGCCATACAATAGTCAACTTTTGTAAATTGGTGTAAAGACTTACCAGTGTTGACTTCACAGTTTTTTACCAACTCTTGATTGTAAGGTGAAATATTCTGTTTAGTTTTCCAAAAGGTATGGGAGATGTTAGTTTTTGTTTTTTAGAGAATTATCAGTTTGATATGCAAGTGGTAAGCAATGCCTTTAACAATTAAGAACAAATATATTTAATTCTACATGTATAATTCATATATTAATCTGCACATTATTGGTTTAAACCTAGCATTTCAAATGCTTAAATGCCTTACGTTTATTTAAGGGGAGTCAAGAATCTCTGAAAATGGAATTGAATAAAATATCTTACATTTCTGTCTTTAAGTTGTAGTAAAAGATGGACATTTATGCTAAATGAATAAGTGTATGATTGGAGTGTATGAATAGATGACAAAATGTTCTTAAATGTTTTTCTCATGAAGTAATCCCATGACCTTTTGTCTTTTCCTCGAAGGAAAGGGTATTACAATGTAATAGCACATTTATGGGCCATTCTACATAATTGGTCCAAAGTCAAAAATTGTATAATGTATGTATGCAGATTGTATAATGTCCAAGGTACACATTTCTAGTAATTATGCAGTTAATTCTCATATTGTGTTTTCAGAAAGTTTTGGAATATGTGTCCTCACCCCAAATTTGTCACTACCGAAACGCATTAATAATAATTTAATTAGAAGGGTTATATTGACCTATCAAGATTTTGCTTACATCTACATTGTAAATATATATTTTGCTATTTTATGAATTTTATTTCAGAGGTAAATCAATAACAATTAAATTTTTTAAACAATATTTCAAGTGTAATTTATGAGATTTTTTTGTATTTCGAATCCAACGTTTCTTTGTAAAAGGAAAAATGTTGATCATACTGATTTCAAGGTTAATGATGCATTAGTTTGAATATACATTGAACCAAAAACTATCACATCACCATTGATAAATCAGTATACTTTATTTTTGACAAAACATCCCATGTTTCGGTAGTGACAGTAATGCTTTGGTAGCGACCACATCACATTACAGAATTTTAACTTGCATACTAAAACACTACTAAAATTAAAATACTACAAAAAACTGCATAACTGTACTAAAATTTTGCTCATTTCCCCCATTATAATAATGTTGTAATTCACAGAATACCCCCTGATGACATCTGTCTTATTTATTTATTTATTTATCATAGCTCTTCCTCTGAAGGCCAGGTGCTCTTTAGTCTGATTTTAAATGGTTTTAGAGGGGGGAAAATGTGGCACAGAAGTGCTGCTGAAGTGGTATTTAGGTATCTTTACACGGTCTGTTTAATGCTGCTTGGAGGTGGCATGAATGCATTTACATAGCAAATACAACTGTATGATGAGTCAGAGCAGCTATAATTTAGTTGGCCTTTTATGCAGCATTTTGGCTTTACACTTAATTTTGAGCAGGCAAAGAGCAGCCTTGGCTGTGTATAGATAACTAAATACTTAACTCCTACAAAGTAAGGTATTTGTGTTTAGTACAACAGCACTGTACTAAAAGAGTTTTTACCCCAATGGGCCTCATTTCCTTCGTCTTCATGCCCTATGATTACAATGACGATTGAGGGACTATTGTAATCCAGCACACATTGCAGTTTAATGATTGTCTGCGGAGCCGATACTGTGGGTTGGAGGGGTACAGAATAATGCCAATATGTTACAGTGTAGGCCTTGCTCTCCTTTTACATAGAAAACTGCTATTTAGGTCAAGAAAGTTGTGTGCAGGAGCCCCTTTTCTTGGAAGAGTAAAGCCTAAGCACGGCGCAACAGAATGCCATCCTTTGGGATTTTGGGAAGCAGCACAGCATAACCATGTCTGGGAATGCTGTAAAAGTACCATAGTTGGGTCTCATATATGGAAATGTTGTGATTTTGAAAGTCCTTGAAAGTCATTTTGGAATATATATATTTATATATATATATATAAAGAAAGAAAAAAAAATAATTAAGGCATTGCATTGAATCAATCAAATGAAGATAATGTCAGCCATACAATAGATTATTTTTATTTTTCCATTCATCAAATCCTTAAAAAAAGTATCATAGCTTCCACAAAAATATCAAGCAGCACAGTTTGCAATTGTGATCATAATAAGAAATGTTTCGTAAGCACTAAATCAGCATATTATGATTTCTGAATGATCATGTGACACTGAAAATTGGAGTAATGGCTACTGAAAATCCAGCTTTACCATCACATGAATAAATTACATTTTAAAATATATTCAAATACAAAGCTGTTTAATTTATAAGAAAATGTAACAATATTACAGTTTTTGCTGTATTTTTGATTGAGTAAATGCTGGAAAAGTAAATATAACAGTAAAGTTATCTGTAGGGAAAAATCCTGGATAAATATTCATTCAGAATTTTTCCGTTCCATAGAGAAAGAAGAGGTTAAGAGTAAAAATGACTGAACTGTTCCTCTACCAAAGAAAGTCCTGCCATGGCAAGTCAAATCATGTTAGTTAGATTTTGTTTGAAGGTCATTTATATTTGCGTTTGTGTCAGTATGTGTTTATGCTTATGTGCAGGAGTATCTCCTTATGTGTTTGTTGTATTCCCAGCATTCCCCCTCACAACTCGCTGAGAAACTGACTTTATTCATTCTTAGAGTTCATGATGCAGATTTGCCCTCTTTCACGGAGTCACCAGCAACGCTAGATCCTTCAGCTCCACTCATTCACAATCACCAGAGTTCTGATTCTCCTCACCTGTCTACACTAATCAACCACAGTATAAAGCCACCTTCCCATCACTACCTGTGTCTGGTCTTCTTGTTACTTCTTGCATCAGCTTACCTGATCTGCTTTATGATCCCTTCATCTTCAGTCATCTGCTCAGTATTCTGGATTCCCCACGAACCGGCAAATCAAGGACAGTGTTACTGCTCTGCTAAGACTCAGCTAGAGTAACAGAACTATTATCACTTACCTGTGATCATCGCTTTCTCCTCTAAAGCCTCTATGTTGTGGATATTTACCTGTGTTGTCTCCTTCTGTGTGCTGACCCTCCTCCTGTTTGCCCTCCTTAATGTTACTGGAGCCTTTTCCAATATCGGTATGTATTTGGCACAGAAAATCTCAAGTCTTTGATTCTTCTGCCATTACATTACTTACACACATGCTTTAGTGCAGTGTTAATTTCGTTGATTAATAATTTTCATCATAATCCTTGTCAATGACTTTTTTCACTGACGACAACGAGACGATAAACTAAAACTCTTTTTGAATGACAAAAACTATGACGAATATTTATTGACATTTTCGTCAACGAATAAAAACGAGATGAAAATGTTTGGGAGGGACGATTTGGGAAGCGATTTCATTCAGAACGAATCTGCTGCGTGGTTCGGAGGTTAGATGCATACATATGAACCGGCGGGACATTAGCTAACATACACTTGCTGCACGTCTCATAAAACATTAAAAAATGTCAATATGTGGGAGTAAGAGAAGAGCAGACATATGGATAAATCTGACGACGCAAGAGAGAACTCAATTTGGTCTGGTTTTCTGAGCGCAGACACTGAAGCATACACGCACAGAAAGCGCGTCTCACAGCGCGCGAGTACTCTTTTGCGAACGGAGAATTACACACAAAATTATGCTGAATTGTCCGTTTTGACAAGTATTCATGTAAACACAGTTGATTACGTCTTAAGTGAATGTAAACAGTAGGGAGAACGTGCATCAGTTCATTGCAGCTGTGCATTCGGTTTTAAAGGGATAGCAGCCTAATTTAGTTGCTATTGTCCGAGTCATTGATGTTAATCAAGCAACAAAAGAGAGACAGAAAATCACGCACTGCTCTTGACTGAAAAACTTTAGTAGTCCTAAAGATTCATCTAAATTTATTTATAGAAATAAATGTCTGCTTGAAATAATGAAGAATATGTTAAACAAGTTGCTATAAACAATGCATAATTGGCCTATATAACCATTGGTATTTCATAAAAAAAAGACCATGTTCTTGTTCTTTATGAGAAGTGGTTTTATTTAATTTTAACAAAGGCATGTTGTGTCACCGCAGTTAAATCGGTGTCTATCATGATAAAACCTTAAAGGGGTCCTATTATGCTTTTTCACTTTTTCAACTTTAGTTAGTCTGAAATGTTGCTGTTTGAGCATAAAAAAAGGTGCAAAGTTACAAAGCTCAAAGTCCAATTCAAAAGGAGATATTTTATTTAAAGGGGTCATATGATACTTTTTTAAAGATCATTATTTGGTGTAACAGAATATGTTGACATGCTTTAAAGTAAAAAAAACACATTATTTTTCAAATACTGTACATTATTGTAGGTCCCTCTATGCCCCGCCTCTCTCAAACGCTTCGTTTTCTACAAAGTCCCTCCTTCTGACAAGCGGAGTCTGCTCTGATTGGCCAGCTGACCCAGTGCATTGTGATTGGCCGAATGCCCTTAAAATGATTGGTAAATGTTAACGCCCCTTACCATAATCGCGAGCTTCATCTTTCAAAATAAATGTAAAGACAGAGCCCGAAAGGGGAACAGAGTCGCGTGACGGACACAGTGATGAAGCTGGTATGTGTTTGCAGTACACAAGCCACGGTTAAGACAGCTGACTCCACTGTGATGTGATGTGATGTGTCTCTCTCTCTCTCTCTCTCTCACACACACACACGATGCACAAAACTCCGCGTTTGAACAGTCAATAGCAAATACTTAAACTAATAACAAAACAGCAGCTGATTCAGAAGCGCCAGATTGTCATAGCAAAGTCAGAATGACCTCCTCTCCTAGGTTCACGAAACGGTCGTCCATAAAATGCATTGCTGTTCTGTTGTAAGTAATCTTAAAGATTCCTAAATGCATCTACTTTCGGAAGGCCAAATAAAGTGCTTTTGCTTTCGCCTAGAAACACACAGCGTCTCCCTGACATGCTGCTTCAACACTAACTGCGGTTACTGAAACCACGCCTTCTTTCTTTGCGTGCACATTTGGGTGCATTATGCAAATATTTCCACATAGTGAGGTAGATATGTGGGGGCGTGTTAGAACGAGCCGTTTTAGGGGGGCGTGGCAGAGTCTTAACTTTGATATTCTTTATCTCTTTGGTTTTGAGACTTTAGTTTTTCCAACTTCAGGGATCGTATCTATGCACAATCAGCTTGTAACACTTCAAAGAGAAAGGAAAACTTGAAATCGCATCATATGACCCCTTTAACAGAAATCACTTTTCAAAAACTACAATGAACGAATCGTTTGGACTAAAACGCATATTTTCCAGGATTTGTGAGATCACAAATATTGACGAATGGGACGAGACCTGGTTGAGCTGCACTAGAGAAGGCAACGAGTGTTAAAATCAAGGCTTTGTAAAAGCGCATAATAGGACCCCTTTAATATCAAACCTATATGAGTTTGGACATTTTTAGAGAAATGCTTAATAAATGCACTGTAACTAAACCCATTAGATTTTAGCCGACTAAATTTACTGTAGATTTAGTTGACAAACTAAAAACAATTCAGATGACTAAAATATGATTAAAACTAAATGGCATTTTAGTCAAAAGACTAGGACTAAAACTAAATCAAAATGTGCTGTCAAAATTAACACTGCTTTAGTGAACACAGACTGCACCAGCGTGTGGATTGGCTGTGATGAGTGACATATTATTGTCTTTGATCTCAGGACTCTCATCACTTAATTAAGCCAAGAGCGAGTGAGAAAGAGAGATGGGAGGAGGAGATGTGAAGAGAGAGAGACAGCCTCTATTTACATCTGGCTGAACATCAGGTTAGATCACCTCCATATGTACACCCTACTTTGCTTAAAACCGGTTGATCTTCTGAACATCTTTCAAGGATTGAATTTAAGTATACAAATATATTTAATATTAGAAATTTAAAAAAAAATTATGTTTCTAAAGCAGCGTGTATGTAAACTTTACGTTTTGCATGCTGTTGATGCATCCTTGTTCAGCATACATACAGTGGGTACGGAAAGTATTAAGACCCCCTTAAATTTTTCACTCTTTGTTATATTGCAGCCAAGGACTCCAAGATGGTGAGAATTCTAAGCGGTATGTGTGGAGAAAACCAGGCACTGCTCATCACCTGTCCAATACAGTCCCAACAGTGAAGCATGGTGGTGGCAGCATCATGCTGTGGGGGTGTTTTTCAGCTGCAGGGACAGGACGACTGGTTGCAATCGAGGGAAAGATGAATGCGGCCAAGTACAGGGATATCCTGGATGAAAACCTTCTCCAGAGTGCTCAGGACCTCAGACTGGGCCGAAGGTTTACCTTCCAACAAGACAATGACCCTAAGCACACAGCTAAAATAACGAAGGAGTGGCTTCACAACAACTCTGTTCTGTTCTTGAGCATCTCTGGAGCGACCTAAAAATGACTGTCCACCAACATTTACCATCCAACCTGACAGAACTGGAGAGGATCTGCAAGGAGGAATGGCAGAGGATCCCCAAATCCAGGTGTGAAAAACTTGTTGCATCTTTCCCAAAAAGACTCATGGCTGTATTAGATCAAAAGGGTGCTTCTACTAAATACTGAGCAAAGGGTCTGAATACTTAGGACCATGTGATATTTCAGTTTTTCTTTTTTAATAAATCTGCAGAAATGTCAACAATTCTGTGTTTTTCTGTCAATATGGGGTGCTGTGTGTACATTAATGAGGAAAAAAATTAACTTAAATGATTTTAGCAAATGGCTGCAATATAACAAAGAGTGAAAAATTTAAGGGGGTCTGAATACTTTCCGTACCCACTGTATATCCAGATGTACTTGTGGAGATGTGTTGCTGCATGTGGTTGTTGTTGCGAGGTCTGGGACACAGGCTTCTGGCGCCGCATGTACTTCATTAAACTTTGTTGCATCATTTTATCATAGACGTCTCTGCAATCATGCAAAGCACACACGTTATATGGGGCACTGCATGATTAATACTAGGGCAAGTTGTGTGTGTGTTTATGTGTGGCACTTCGCTCCTTACTGTTTCACGTTACCTAAATCAGCAAATAAAACCTGGTCTTGACAGAGGCACACAAATCAACAACATGAACATGTAAGATAAAGTCATCCAATCCAGTTCTGGTGAGCGGCCCCTTCTAACACTGAGTTTTCCTGGGAGACCTTCATTCAGCCAGACACAATGGAACTGAGCCATGCGCTGGCACTGAGGCAGAAACCAGATACTCATCAAACCTCCCGAGCACCTCTCACTTTCTCCCCACTCTCAGCTACATGCCTATAGTTACATAGTGTATACTTTTTTTTTTTTGAACACATTTAAGATTAATAAAAAATGGGGGAAATCGTATGAACATTATCAAATTATGTATAATTATTTGAATTTAAATTATTATTTTTTTAAATTTAAATTAGAAGTGTTTTTGTGAATATGAGCACATTATAATTTGCAATTCATCTAGGCCCTTGTTGTCACAAAGGGAAAAAATGGTCTGAACATCAAGTTATATACTTAATTATGAATTTATCGATAGAAAAGGTGTCATAAATTACAAAAAAAATAACTTGTAAATATTTATTTAATTAGTTATTTAGTTACTACATTTTTATATTTGCGAGCACATTAGAGGCAGAATTAATCAAGGCCCTTGTTGTCACATGGGGGGGGGATTTAAATATCATCAGATTATGTATTTATCTGTAATATGTGGAGCTTGGGCCAAGACAGATAAGGTTCACATCAGGTTGCCTTCAGTGGACTTTTGAACATAAATATTAATTTAAATAATTTATTTTCAATTTTAATATAGAACATGTATATTGATTTAAATTATAAATGTTTTATGAATGTGAGCACATTCGAGACCGAATTCATTCCCCCTTGTCTTCAAAAGTGGGGAAAAAATGGTCTGAACATTGTCTTATCTTATATTTATGTATTTATCTGTAGAAATAGTTTCATAAATTGAATTTTTTTTTATTTAAACCATTTATTTTAACATTTTTACTGTATAAAAAAAACATATATTTCACAATTCATAAGTTGTTCATTGAAATGTATTCATTTACTAAAAAAAATATATATATATATATATAGTACCAGATTGCATTTTTATTCTTCTATTTTTCCTGCATTTATACTGCCTGTGACGACAGCAACTCTGAGTGTTTTGACACGTCAATGTCACCATGATTAAAAGCAGCAAAATCAGTGTTGGCTGTGGTAAATCTGGACCCAGAAATCAAGATTAAATCTAAATATTTGGAAGCTCAATTGTTAGTCTTTCTGAAGTAGCTCATGACGAGAATTCTGGGAAATTTCAGTGTGCAGTATCTCACCAACTCTGACCTAAAGTTTATTGTAGAGGATCACGTTGTTGTGTATTATTACGTGTATCATATATGATTACACCCCATGCCCTGCGTTATATCAACATTAGTTTGCTTGACTTGCCAAGGTTTGCAGCAACAGTTTTCCTGCATTTATACTGCCTGTGACGACAGCAACTCTGAGTGTTTTGACACGTCAATGTCACCATGATTAAAAGCAGCAAAATCAGTGTTGGCTGTGGTAAATCTGGACCCAGAAATCAAGATTAAATCTAAATATTTGGAAGCTCAATTGTTAGTCTTTCTGAAGTAGCTCATGACGAGAATTCTGGGAAATTTCAGTGTGCAGTATCTCACCAACTCTGACCTAAAGTTTATTGTAGAGGATCACGTTGTTGTGTATTATTACGTGTATCATATATGATTACACCCCATGCCCTGCGTTATATCAACATTAGTTTGCTTGACTTGCCAAGGTTTGCAGCAACAGGTTCTGGGTAAACCATCTGTTGCCTGGTTAGAGAAATGACTACCAGATGTCTTCACTGCAAAGATAAAGAACCTGCATGACAGTCAAATCAGAGAGACGCTCAGGGCATTTCCAAGTATTCTCCTCTCATTTGGGCTCATATGCATAAGTAAACAACCTGGGCGGTTTGTTAATGTGGGAACAGAGCAGCTGCATTAATGGGTCATTGAACACCCATGGCTTCGTCTCTGAGGACCTGATTTACACCTCATGCAAAGAGCTGTGAATGGAGAGAAGGAATGAAATGTGCCCTGAGAGGGCAGCTTGCGTCTTCCCTCTGAGACACGTTTGCCGTGGTGTCCATTGTGTCAGGAGATTTACAGGCAGCTCAAAACCACATAAAACACGAGCTCTGAATCTCTGACGATCAATGGAATGAACAACCGAAGCAGGCCAACCAGCTGCTCAGTGGCGGTATCTGTAGTGATGGCCATTATCAGCAATGCATTGATTACCAAATTTACTTTTGCTAACATCATTTTGGCTGTTTGTATCATTCTACTTAACTGTGTTGGTTAGTTCCATGTGATGGACTTTTTCTGCAGGCATTATTATGATTAATTCAGTAACCAAATAAATAAGTCTTCAATGATTAACTGAAGATACACACACACACATTCAATTCAATTAATTCATGAGTGATCAATTGAATCATTCATCGATTCATTTGGGAATTAAACAATTTAATATCTCTTCATGAGTTGTTGAATGTTCATTCAGCCGATTCATTCATAACGCTGATTCATTTAGGAACAAAACAAGTCACTGTCTTTTTGAGTGAGTCATTGAATCATTAATTCAACTGATTTGTTCAAAACACTAATACATTCATCAACATAACAAATGACTTTATGAGTCAATGAATAATCCATTCACCCATTTTTTCTTTTCAAAAGGACTAATTAATTCAGGAATGAGACAAGTGACTTTGATGATCAAATTTACTTTTGCTAACATCATTTTGGCTGTTTGTATCATTCTACTTAACTGTGTTGGTTAGTTCCATGTGATGGAGATTTGACTTTTTCTGCAGGCATTATTATGATTAATTCAGTAACCAAATAAATAAGTCTTCAATGATTAACTGAAGATACACATATATACACACACACACACATTCAATTCAATTAATTCATGAGTGATCAATTGAATCATTCATCGATTCATTTGGGAATTAAACTATTTAATATCTCTTCATGAGTTGTTGAATGTTCATTCAGCCGATTCATTCATAACGCTGATTCATTTAGGAACAAAACAAGTCACTGTCTTTTTGAGTGAGTCATTGAATCATTAATTCAACTGATTTGTTCAAAACACTAATACATTCATCAACATAACAAATGACTTTATGAGTCAATGAATAATCCATTCACCCATTTTTTCTTTTCAAAAGGACTAATTAATTCAGGAATGAGACAAGTGACTTTGATGAGACAAGTGAGTCCTTTCATGAATCATTTACTCAACCCATTCGTTCAAAATTTGATTTGAGGAATGTAACAAATGACTGTGTTTATTAGTAATTAACTGAATCATTTACTAAACCGATTTGTTCAAAAGTACTGATTTATTCAGGAATAAAACAAGTGACTGTCATTATGAGTGATTAATTGAATCATTTACGCAACCGATTTGTTTAAAGACACTGATTTATTCATGAATTACATAAGTGACAGACATCAGAAGAGAGTGATTGAATCATTATTTTAACCTTTTTTTTTAAAACAACAACAACAAAAAAACAACATCAATGATTTACTAAGAAACTAAATAAGTGGCTAAGTGAATAAATGAATTAATTTATTTTAAAACACTGATGTGTCCTCACTGTCAGGTAGCATTTTTGTTTTGTTTTTTCCTCGTTGTTTCTTGTTGCAAAATTAAATATTGCAATATTCAATAAACTAAAATCATTTATGCCATAGACATTGCTAACGATGAAATATCTCCAATCTGCAAACAGATTGTTCTGCATAGTATTGAGTAAGAGTATGTGCTACACAGTATAAGACCTGACACTAGTTTGGGCATTCCAAAGTATTTAGGCCAACCAAAAGCAATGTAATCATTGCCCTCTGTGTGAATGATTGTGTGTGTTGAATGTGCGTTTGTCTCCTTCGGTCACTATCATCCAGGAACGGGCCTGTCTGCATGTTCTGTTACTCTGCGGCTAAAAAAGCATGCTTATCTATTTATCACTTATATGAGTGATAGGAAACCTTGAGTAATTCATATCATGCACAAGAGACAGATGGACAGGGAGATTGAATGAGATTTTTTTTTTTTATT